TGAGTGCTAGTGAGTGCTGGTGAGGCCACACTGCAGTAAACAGAGGACAAACAACCAACCATCAGCAAAACAACCCTTGCTAGCAAACTCCATTTGCCATACCCCATTGACTGGCGAAATCCTCACCACTTTTCGGGTTTTCAGAGTACGGCTTGCATAGTGGAAGGGATGAGTTTGGCATTCTTTGTTACATCGTTTGCACGATCTCGAGCGTCAGCCGCACTGGAGGCTTGAAGATCATGCGGCTCCCGCAGCTGCTGGGCCCGCTAATGAAGAACCAGACCGACGAGGACAAGTGATCCAAATGGATCTTTCTCATAAGAACCTTGAATAAGGCATCCCCACCAGCTTTTTGGTAGCCTCCTCGATCCGATCAGCGACCAGTGAGAGTCAGTCCGGGCGAGTGGCGTAACATCCGCATGGCCCTGAACCCCAAGCTCCTCGGGCAAGTCCGAGTTGTGAGAGCGTACACCTCAGCTCCTCAGAGGGAAGTTCGTGCTCCAGACGAGCCCTTCGGGCCAAGGGCGTGGTCTCAGAAACCTCCGCATTCCAAGTTCTGCCAGGAGCAGAAGAAGAAGGCGCTGCCGGCCCGCCCTCTCTGCATGCTGCAGGCACACAGCAGCAGTGAAGCTACATCACAAGGCTGTCAACTGCGTCTCTAGCTTTCGGTTTCTGCTGCTAGCCTATCATAGGCTCCAACTCCAACGACTCTGCGCACTTGTCGTGGTATACTTTGGTGGGGGTGATCTCGCAGTCGACGCTTTAGATGTCTGCAGCTTGAAGCCTGGAGCTGCGGGGTCCTGAGGCCAGGTAAGACTAAGAGTATCGCAGTTGCTTAGGGTCTCGCCGACTTCCTGGCATAGTTTGATACCTCGGACCCCAAGTGACATGAGATCCGGGGGGCATGTTGCGCTTCTCAGCAACCCCGCACCGAAACCGCGATGGGAACTCAGTTGCTAGCTCGCTGCGGTAGAGGTTTCCGCTGTACTTCGTCCACAAAATCCTAAATTTGAACTCCGTGGCTGTCCGATCGTTTGAGAGGGAGAGGTTCGGCTTTCTTGCGCTGGAAAAGCCCTCGAAACTGTGACCCCTACACTCCTGGATTTCATGACCCCCTGCTGCACATCGGTAGTTTTTTAAATTAGGTTCCCTTGTAGGAACCCAGAAATAGTACGGCAGCCTTACAAAAGGACCTTAAAGGATCCGTAGCCTTGCAGCAGTTTACATAGGGTTGGAGCTGGGTCTAAGCAGCTTCTCTGGACGTTTTGGACCGGGACCCGAAATCGGAGAACGACCCACATCGAAGCTCTCCATCTGGGGGTTTCCAAAAGAAGGTACCCCTTATTTTCGGAAACTCCCATCTCTCAGTATGTGACACCACACGGGGAACTCCTGGCCTGCAGACCCAGGTTGGAAATGGTCGGAAACCCTAGACTCTAGACACTTGAGTCTAGTTTCAGCTGTTTTCGGGTACTATTACAGTATAATCAGTTTATTGCAAGCTTTTCTTGCATAGAAGTTTGAGCCTGAAGCCATCGCAATCCAGGTGGTGGCATCCTTTTTGGTGGAGCTGGCCATAGTCGACGTCTTGGCTGCTCCTGTGGCGAAGTCTCCGAGCCTGCCAAGAACCCCAAAACCCTTACATGGAGGAACATCTACATCTGTTGAAATTTCGGCGGAACCTTACGAAGGCGTAATATAGGGGCCTTAAAATTAGAACAGGGTTTTGGGCCCAAAAATAGTATTGGTAATAATTGAGGCCCCTATACTTGGAGGTTCATGGGTAGTTGTAAGTAGGGTTCTAAGTAGGGTAACCATAAGCATAACCCATATTAGGGGACTTATAGCTCCACTTATAACTACCTTCCATGAGTAGCTTCCTAGGTCCACCGTCCTGGAATCGCCTACGGCGATGAGCTTCCCATGTCGGCTTTAGCCGTGGCAGCCCCGAGCCCCAGCAGATGCTTCCGCAAAGTCTTGGGAATATCTTTAGGGATTCATTCTATAACATATTACAAGTACAATGTAGCTAAGGGGTTAAGAATGTAATAACATATTACGATTTCAATGTAGCTAAGGGGCGAAGAATGTAATAACATATTACAATTACAATGTCGCTAAGGGTTGAAGAGTCGCTTGAGGGGGCCGGGCCAGGTTCGCGGTTTGGGACTTGGTCCTGGTATACACTCCGCGGTCTTCCGAATGAGTTGATAGCATTCATTTTCGTCGTCACCGCGCATTTCGTTCACAGTGACCTGCCCAGTGTGCAACTCTTCAGATGCGTGCTGAAAATCAGCTCTTGTTGACGGCTGCTCGATCGGAATCACATGGCCCCTATCATATCATGATGCAATTAGTTGATGTGCCCTTCCGGTTCTCTGGATATTCATTGACAGTCTGTGATGCCCAATCAACCAACCATCCAGTAGGTCAGGAAGAGATGATGGAGGCACGGTGTGGTGATGATCAAAGTAACTGAAGTCCTCCCAACGCGGAGGGTCATCGTGGCGGAGCCGCGTCCCAACCCCCTTTGCCTCCGCCTCCGTCCTGCAGCATCTCTGTTGTCGCTACCTGAGGCGATGCAGCTGGCTCTCTACAGCTGGGGAAACGAGCCTCCGCAGTCCAGCACTGCCTGGGAGCCCCAGGTGCCGTTGCGTTTTTTGGGGATTGTAGAGTCAGACCAGCTGGAGAGGAGCCGTGGTGCCTGGAAGCCGTGAGGTGGACCTTTCAACCGGCCTTTGGAATTGTCATCCCGATGGTCCGAAGACGTCGTCCCGAAACCCCTAGTAACTGTGCGGGTCTAAGCGCCGCAAAGAAACCGAGACCCTAAGCTTTCTGTTGTGAGTGCAGGATCGAGCGTACTTGCCTGGGCGCTCGGGTGTTTCATTTGTGCAATCGGTTAGTTGGGTCAAATTACGAGACGTACGGCTCGCAGTCCTCAAAATCGACAGAGACTCGAAGTAACGAATTCTGACTTATGTCTTGAAACAAGCCTTGCAGCTACTACAAAGTGGAGAGTTGGAACACCTTCCCTAGAGAGAGAGTGTCCACAAACAATAAAGTTGAGGGGATGGAATCGCGGCGATTCCGCTACGATCAAACCTCGCAGAAACTTCTTTAGCCTCTGAAGATCCATAACAAACATTCGCAAGTTTTGCCCCAAATCCTTGCATTGCCAACCATCCCACACCAACACATTGTACATCTTGTCCGTTTCGAGAGCAAAGCTTGTGTATGAACCGGATTTGTTCTCTCTCCCATGCTGACCCCTCCAAAGATCGCCATGCAGAAACCTGGTTTTAAAATTGAAACGGTCCTTAAGCATACGGTTTCAACCCAAAAGTGCAAAATCGATGGAGCGCAGAAGCTCAAGACGCAACGATCATCGGCTCTTTGGCCGCGAAAATTTGCTCACAATCGGAAGTGCGCAGAAGTGCAGCTCTGGAACTAGCAGCGAGTCAGCTGATCTTCAGAATCAAGAAATACTGGAAGTGTCGAGAGCAATTGTCTTAGACACAGCTTGTCTCTAACAGCAAGCGCCTCAACTAGACTTCGAACATCTCCAGCAGCTTATTTGAGCTGGTCTTTGCGGAAGAACCCTGGAATGGCTTAGATCCGATTGCAATCTGTGTTTTGCGCACGGACGCGCACGGTCTCACAGCTCACTCTTCGCGTCTTTGCCCTTCGGGCGAGCTTCGTCGTTGCATCAGGTTGTCACCATGCTTGGAGCCTGTCCATGCAGTCCAGATAAGCTTTGAATGAGGGAAATGACTTGTTGAACAAGATGGCAGAATCCTGGGTGATCCTCCTTTCTGCACCCACCTACTGTAGTCCGCGAGATCTGTGAAAACTCTAAATATTTGTGTGTGAGTCCCTAGATGGGTAGTTCTCTAAATTAGGGTCCCCTTTGGGTCCTTTTTCTAAGGGTGCCGTACTATCTTGGGGACCCAAAATGGGACCCTAATTTAGAAAACCACCCAAATCCAAAACGCAAAGAGTCTCCAGACAAAACCGCAAGCCTTTTGTCTCTCTAAGGCCAAGCTCTCGGATCTGCAGGACGGAGAAGAAGGGTTTCTGGGTTCCCCAACGTTTTTTTTTTTTTTTTTTTAGGCTTCTATAGGGTTT